GGGGGACCTTATCAGACGTCTCAACGTCTATTGTAGTATGCGGTCTTTGTTGTTTTTTTTTGTAGATTTTTTCATACTGCGCAATTTCATTTTTATACATATATATTATGTTTATTATTCATACATCCCAACTCCTAGGTAATCAGTATATGTATTTCTATGTACATGGGTAGCTGTATACAAACAGCCTGCGACCGAAACAGCTGGAAACGAACGACAGGTAAAATCAAAAGGAAATACATAGGTATAAACAAAACAAAAACAAATATGCACATATATACATACATATCTACTGCATATACATACATATTTATGCGCTCTTATGTACTCCCTTACCTCCATATGTATGTACATACATACCTGAATATGTACAGAAGTAAATAAAGCTACTCCATACCCACCACCACTTGCTTCCAGCTGACTCTCAAATTTCATCTGTTTTCTATACGCACAGGGTGCGTGCCAACACTTCTAGAAAGGTGGAGTGCGATCTGGAGTTACTGGAAGTGGATGGCAGATGAATCAACTCAATACTAGCGAGTGTAGACTTTGTGATTATTCTAGAAATTTGGGGCACACTTTGGAGTAATTGTACAGGTGATGGGTATTTTGGCACAGAAAACATACATATGAACATACATACCTAATTACGAGTTAAGTTTTGCCAATGAAATTTATTTGATACAGCCCACATCATCACATATATTAAAATATTTAACCAATTTTTTACGTTTTATATATCGCTTAAAACAGTAATGGAGAAAATAAGTAAATTCACGACGGCGGGAATTGATTTCGAAGTATTGAATAGCACAACTACGAAACGAAGTCGCCGAACCGGAAAATGAAAAAGGCGGAAGTGAAATACAAAAAAACAAAGCAAATATAGGAAAAGTTGAATAAAATCAGTAAATAAAATAAAATATTACAAAATGATAATACATATCGAATAATAGTATATAAAACAACATGAAATATATAAAATAAGGCAAATGAAATCAATTAAATTAAAAAATTAGCAACGTTTATTAATTTTATTAGAATAACTTATTTCAAACTAAAAATTGGAGTCTAGTGTAGAAGAGCGACATGAACAAAGTATGTATAACGATTTATTTATGTCGTTGAACTGGTTAAGGACAGGTACACGCAAAACATGCGATTTCCATCAACCAAGGTTAGTTTGACAAAGCCGATAAGAACATGTTCTATACATACATATGTACATAGTGTATATACATATGTACAAACAAAGTACGGAAGCCTAAAATTTCTGCGTTATTTTAAAACGAAAAGCACAAAAATCATCCTTGCTATTGCAGCAGAATTTTGCAAAAGTTATGTACATACATACATACATAAGTATGTAAGCATCACCATTCCATAAGCATTAGCAAACAAAGAAAGCAAAACGACAATTGAAACTACTGGCTATACATGTCCATACATGCTATGCATGGACGGTACCTTTGTAAAACCTCGTATCTCAGAATTCGCTACTACTTCGCATCTCGTAAAATTAAATCAAAATAGGCCTTAAAATGCTACGAGGCATTATATATTATTCCCAATTAACTAAAAAGTACGTAGCTAGTTTCACGAAACAAATACATACATATATGTAAATGAAAAATTATTATATTTGAATTTAATATGAAAACTGACAGAAAAAAATAAATTTTCACTTAAATTGCTTTCGTGAAACCGGCAGTTAATCTTTAATATTCAGTAAAAAAAATTTATTAAAAATGATTTTCTGTTATTAGTATAGAGTATTTTGTTAGAGAGCGTTGTTTGACAGTGTCTTGAGATACGAGGTTTTGCCAAAGTACCGTCGGTATGTATTTATGGCGTGTCTAGAATGCTCACATGTCGGCCACCTAACTTGTTGCTCAAAATAAGCAAAATAATAAAGTAAATACTTATGTATGCATGTAGAATATTTTTGCTCCTATATACATACATATGTACATTTGCACATAAATCCCACGCACAAACATTCTAGCCGGCCAATAGCAACGTGATTATGCGCACACACGTAAGCTAAGAAGTGTGTTTGTTTTTTTTTTTCAAAGTGCGCAGTCCAATGCCTTGACCGATTTTTTTCTCTGTCTTTGTTTTCGTAACCATATTCGCCGGTTAGTTTATTTTCATACAAAATACAATAAATAACTACGTATGTGTTATCGTTCGTCTACAAGTTTGTAATCAGAAGTTCCTTTTATGTGCAATGGTAAAAGAACTTAAGACCGACTGTGTTCACCTTGTAGCGGTAGCCCTGTCGCTGTCGGCTTCATCGATAAATGCTTCTAGATTATTCGAGCTGAAAAACAGTTGAATAAACTTTCATATCGCATATGATTCACTTGATCAAACCGTCAGATGGCGTATCATTTTACACACAAAAAATAAAATAAAAACACTTGTGCACAAAATTTAAACTGAATGACTTGCATTCGGTTTCTTTCTTACATTTCATTTTGCACATAGACAAGCTGCATGTAATGTATTAACACGCATTATTAGACATATCTTCGAAATACACAAATGCAGCTATGACAAACATTGAAAAAATAATAATTTATGTACTTTGACAAAATTCGTTTGCAGGAAACTTCAAAATGGCGAAACAGCTGACCGGATCCCATTAGCACGGAAAAAGTAGGTTTAGCAGCAGCAAATAACCGGGTGTTCCATACAGTTTCCCAAAGAATTGGTTTAAATACAGAGTGGTACTTCCTATGGTTTGAGAATAAGGTGTTGGTGATTCAAATAAATTTTAGTTGTAATAAAATTATCGATCCGGTATAATGCCTGCAAATGTTTCTGGGTATACATAGAGTCGTTCTGATCACCCTGTGACAAATTTATCGATAAAAATATCGCACTTCCTTAGCGAGAAAAATCTCAAAAACGCGCGCGGAAACGAAGCTTCGGCATAAATTCGTAGTGTAGTGAATATATTAAAAAGAAAGATATATAAAATAATTTTAATTATGTAAGTGCATAAAGTTATGAGCCAAATGTACGTACATATGTGCGTGAGTAGCTACAAAAGATGTTAGGCTCATTATCTGATAGCGGAAGTGTGTGGTGAAAATTAGCTTGAAAATTCGTATGCATTTACCAATATAAACTATATCCGGGTGCAGTTGTATGGTATGACAATAAATAAATAAAGTGTATCGCGAAAATGTGAAAATACGTAGGCAAATATAAGCTATAGATTTAAGGGAAGCTAATTGGTGTATTTTAATATGTATTTTGCATTTGTATGAGCTAAATATGCACATACATATGTATGCATATATATTCGCAAGGCTGTTAGTGGTGTTGGAATATATAAATAAAGTGTCTTCCGATAAAGGGCAAATGTGTGAAAATAATTTCCCCAAGAAGTGTAAAAATATTTATAGGTACCATTTTGGCAAAATGCAAAGCTTCTATAAAGTTACCCGCAGGTGAGTCCTCTGTTCTCTGTTATTAAATTACTCAAAGACATTAAGTAAATTAAGCAATTACATATTAATTTTATTATATTTTATGCGCTATTCTTAAAGATGATTTAAACTTTCCGCTGCATCAGTTTCTGGTTTGGGTGCGATAGGCACAATACGTCTCTTCTTCGTCAATATAGCAGCCTTTTTTCTTTTGCACATTTTTTTACCGCCCTCGCTGCTGGTTTCTGTTTCGGATTTTGCGATCGTCTCTGCGCTCACATCAACCACATCTAACGGTGGCAAATTGAATTCATCGCATGCGTTGGTCTCAAAAGCATTATCAACTATTTCCGGCAGTTCCAGCTGCACCACCTTTTCCGTATGCACTCGTTGCACATGCTCCTTTAGTTTATCCGAACGATGACTACTAAACGAACATAATTGGCATTTATATTTATTTAGCTCATCTGTTGA